GGAATTGCTGGATCACACGGTAACTTTATTTTTAATTTTTTTGAGGTGCTTCCATGTTGTTTTCATAGCAGCTGCACCATTTTACATTCCCACCAGCAGTGCAAAAGAGTTCCAATGTCTTCACATCCTTACCAACACTTTTGTTTTTAAATAAAAGCCATCCTAAATAGGTGTGAAATGGTATCTGACAGTGGTTTTGATTTGTATTTCCCTAATGTCGAGCATCTTTTTAGGTGCTATGACCATTTGTACATTTGTTAGCTCATTTTTAAATTGGATTGTTTGTTTTTTTTGCGATTGAGTTGTAAGAGTTCTTTATACATTCTAGAAATTAATTCCTTATCAGATATATGATTTGCAAATATTTTCTCCCAAATATGGGTGACTTTTTTAGTCTGTTAATAGCATCTTTTGATGCATCAACATTTGACATTGATGTAGTTTAATGTTTTCTTTTCTTTTAGTACCTCTGCTTTTGGTATCAGATCCAAGTAATCTTTGCCAGAACTAACATTGTAAAGCATTTCCCCTGTTTCCATCTAAGAGTCTTATGGTTTTAGCTTTTATGTTTAAGTCTTTGATCCACTTTTGAGTTAATTTTTGTATATAGTATAATGATGTTACTGGAAAGGGGTTCCAATACAGATCTCAATAGAGGTTTCTTGGATCTTACACAAGGAAGAATTTGGGGGAAGTCCATAAAGTGAAAGCAAGTTTATTAAGAAAGTAAAGGAATAAAGAATGGCTACTCCATAGGCAGAGCAGTGGCATGGACTGCTCAGTTGCTTATATTTATTGTTACTTCTTGATTATATGCTAAACAAGATGTGGATTATTCATGAATTTTCTGGGAAAGGGGTGGGCAAGTCCAGGAACTAAGGGTTTCTTTCCTTTTTAGGCCACATAGGGTAACTTCCTGATTTGCTACGGCATTTGTAAACTGTCATGGTGCTGGTGGGAGTGTCTTTTAACAGGCTAATGCATTATAATTAGCGTATAATGAGCAGTGAGGATGACCAGAGGTCAGTTTCATCACCGTTTTCGCTTTCGTGGTTTTGGCTGGCCTCCTTACTGCATCCTTTTATCAGCAAGGTCTTTGTGACCCGTACCTTGTGCCAACCTCCTATCTCACCCTGTAACTTAGAATGCCTAACCTCCTGGGAATGCAGCCCAGCAGGTGTCAGCCTCATTTTACCCAGTCCCTATTCAAGATAGAGTCGCTCTTGTTCCAACGTCTCTGACAACGCAAGGGTCTAATTTCATATGGTTATCCAGTTTTCCCAGCACCCCTTATTGAAAAGGCTGTCTTCTCCTCATTGAATGGTCTTGACACCCTTGTTGAAAATCATTTGACCGTATACCCAAGGGTTGATATCTGGACTCTCTATTTCATTGGTCTATATACCTGTCTTTATGCCAAATACAACATTGTCTTCATTACTGTAGCTTTGTAGTAAGTTCTGAAATCAGAAAGTGTGAGATCTCCGATGCTGTTCTTCTTTTTTGAGTTTGTTGTGGCTATTCAGGGTTCCCTGAAATTCCATATGAATTTTAGGGTAAGGATTTTTCTATTTCTATGAAAACCATTACTGGGATTTTGACAGGGATTACATTAAATCTATATATCGCTTTAGGTAGCTTTGACATCTTAACATGAAGTCTTCCAATCCATAAACACAGGCAGTCTTTCCATTTATTTATATCTTATTTAATTTCTTTCAGCAACATTTTGTAGTTTCCAATACACTTGACTTTTATATCCTTGGTTTATTCCTAAGTATTTTATTTTTTAATGCTATTGTAAATTGAATTGTTTCTTAATTTTTTGGGAGGGGTGTTGTACATTGTCAGTGTATAAAAATGAAGTTGAGTTAAAGCAGGTTAAAATGTTGCAAATTCCATGTATTCATTTTGCAGAGGAGAACTGGGGACTGGATGCACAGCATGGGGGAGGAAATGGGGCAAAGGTGAGTTTAAAAGTCATGAAATTTCCTATGGCTTTGAATGTGTCTTTTTCTTGGTTGGGTGGGCTTGGTTGCTGTAGATCTTTGACTTCCATAGCTTCTCAAAAGAAGTTATTTTAGCCACTTCCTAGTTAACAGTTCTGTGGGAAAATGAGGGCCTGGAGCTTTCTAGTCCACCATCTTGCTGACATTCCTCTCCACTGCCTAAGTCTTAGACCCAAAGAGTATATCCCAAGGAGACAGTATGGAGCCAGAGTGGTCAGAGCAGAGCCAAGGCTGGGAGGTAACAAGAGACAGGTTAAATAGGAAAAGGCAGGGAGCGGAGGTCTGGAAATTGGAAACCGAAGACTTAGACTTAAGTCCGTGAAATTAACAAGCAACTGTAACAATGCCTGGCAAGGCAACAAAGCCAAGGCATGCCCTGAGTGATAGCTCATGCCTATAATCCCAGCCCTGTGGGAGGCAGAGGCAGGAGGATTGCTAGAGGCCAGGAGTTCAAGACTAGCCTGTGCAAAATAGTGAGACCCAGATTCTACAAAAAATAAAATAACTAGCCAGGCATGGTGGCACACACCTGTAGTTCCAGCTACTCTGTATGCTGAGGCAAGGATCACTTAAGCCCAGGAGTTCGAGGCTGCAGTGAGCTGAGATTGTGCCACTGCATTCCAGCCTGAGCAACAGAGCAAGACTCTGTCTCTAAAGAAAAATCACTTTTCTAAAGAAAAATCATTTTCAAGATTAGGTTATAGAGAAAAATAAAATAAAAAGCCAAGGCAGAAGCCAGGCCAGGCCAATCTGAGCTTCTTCCAGTGCACTGGATTGAATGTCAAAGAACCCAAAGGATGTGGAGCATATGCATGGTTTCAGCTCATATCCCATTAGGGCTCCTCAAGTCCCCAACCCTAAGGTCTTCAGGAACTTTTTCAGTACCTTAGGTGAATCAAAATCATAAGCCCCAGCCCAGCCTCTGCCCTCAGTCTGAAGGGTGAGTGGCCCAAGCTCCCACTACTTCCCACTGAACCCAACATACAGCAAACATATCATAAATCGATCCTAACCAGCTGGGTGCAGTGGCTCACACCTGTAATCCCAGCACTGTGGGAAGCCAAGGTGGGAGAATCACTTGAGGCCAGGAGTTCGAGACCAGCCTAGGCAACGAAGCAAGACCTCATCTCTACAAAAAAAGAAAAAGAAAAAAAAAATCAGCCCTGAGAAGAATATGGCTCCAAGCAGGCAGTCTCTTCCCATGCATGCTGCTCTTTCCTCCTGGTGGTTTCAAAAAGTTTCTGATCATGAGCCTCATTTGGGAGGCCAGTTGAAGATATATAATGCTGGCTGGGTGTGGTGGCTCACGCGTGCAATCCCAGCACTTTGGGATGCTGAGACGGGCAGATCACCTGAGGTCACGAGTTCGAGACCAGCCTGGCCAACACAGTGAAACCCTATCTCTACTAAAACTACAAAAATTAGCCAGATGTTGTGGTGGGCACCTGTAATCCCAGTGACTCAGGAAGTTGAGGCATGAGAATCACTTGAACTTGGGAAGTGGAGGTTGCAGTGAGCCGAGATTTCCTCACTGCACTCCAGCCTTGGCGGCAGAGTGAGACTCTATCTCAAAAAAAAAAAAAAAAAAAATAGAATACCGATGCTGGGCCCCTCTCCTAGATAGTTTGGTTAAGAAAGTCTGTGTGGGGCCCCAGACGTCTGTATTTTCATTTAGCTCCATGGATGAGGCAAATCACCAACCACTTTTGGAAGTTCTGGGCTAATCCCCCAAGCTGAGACGCTAGCCTCTGACATTGTTTCCACCTGCCCACATGTTTGGTGAGAGTTTTTCGAGGAAGGAGAAAGCAGAACTGAAATTCAGTTCCATGCAACCTTTCCCAGAAGTCTCAAACTGGCTGCTACTTCTTTTCTTTTTTTTTTTTTTGAGATGGGTCTTGCACTGTAGTTCAGATTGGAGTGCAGTGGCATAATCGCAGCCCACTGCAGCCTCAATCTCCTGAGCTAAAGCAATCCTCCCACCTCAGCCTCCTGAGTAGCTAGGACTGCAGGTGAGCTCCACCAAGCCCAGCTAATTTCATATTTTTTGTGGAGATGGGGTCTCACTATGTTGCCCAGGTTGGTCTCAAACTCCTGGGCTCAAGCAGTCCTCCTGCCTCAGCCTCCCAAAGTGCTGGGATTACAGACATATGCCACCATGCCTGACCTTCAAACTGGCAATTTAATCTGATGCAGTTTTAAGACATAAAATACATTTTTTAAAAATGAAATGCATTAGTTACCAGTATTTAAAAAACAGATTTCACAAGCCAGATACAGAAGGACAAGTATGATTCCACTTTTACGAGGATCCTAGACTAGGCAAATGTATAGGAGCAGAAAGTAGAATAGAGGTAACCAGGGGATGTGGGGGTGGGGGGGACAAAGGAGGAGTTATTGCTTAATGAGTGCAGAGTTTTTATTGACGATGACGAAAAAGTTTTGGGTATAAATAGTGGTAATATTTACACAACATTGCAAATGCATTTAATGTCACTGAGCTGTACACTTATGAATGGTTAAAATGGTAAATATTATTTATAGTTTATCATGATTACAAAATACAGGTTTCACACAAAAATCTGGATTTCTGATTTCTCTTCAAAGAAAAAAAAAATGAAGATCTGACACCACCGAGTCATGCTTTGTATATATCAATGACTGGTGGGAGCTGAAGCAACTGCTGCCTTTAGATAGGATGCACTGGGACCCCACCACACTCCAATGTCACTTTTACTAGCCCTGCTTCAGCATTTATATGGCCTGGATGGCCCCCATAACCATTTCAGAGGGTGGTCCCAGACCTACGCCGTCTACCTTCAGTTACTGCTAGCCTTGTTCTCGGCTCCCAGCCCTTGTCTACTCTCCTCCAATGCACAATAGGAGGCTAGAAAGTAGACAGTCATGCTTTTCCTCCCTGGCTGTCTGAGGATAGACCACCATCATGAACGGTACATAACTATTGGCACTAGAAAGTTCATGACCAGCTGACAACTTCAGAGGAAACAAATGGTCATTGATATCCTTCATCCCCGGAAGGCAACAGTTGCCTAAGACAGAAATTTGGGAAAAACTAGCCAAAATGTACAAGACCACACCGGATGTCATCTTTGTATTTGGATTCAAAACTCATTTTGATGGTGGCAAGACAACTGGCTTTGGCATGATTTATGATTCCCCGGATTATGCAAAGAAAAATGAACCCAAACATAGACTTGCAAGACATGGCCTGTATGAGAAGAAAAAGACCTCAAGAAAGCAGCGAGAGGAATGCAAGAACAGAATGAGGAAAGTCAGGGGGACTGCAAAGGCCAGTGTTGGTGCTGGCAAAAAGCTGAAGGAGTAAAGGTGCTGCAATGGTGTTATCTGTGGCCATTGTGGATTTCTCATGAGAAGATTAATAAACTAAAAACTTTCATGTGAAAAAAACAAAAACAAACAAAAAGTAGACAGTCATGTGAGCAAGCACTCTGTGTGCTGTCAATAGCTATAACAATCAATAGAAGTGAACAAAAGGGTTTCCCTTCACCTCTGCAAACTTCCCTCAGACCTTGAAAGACCTCTGACATCATGAGATCCAAAATGACAATGCTGGACTGCAACATACCCAAGTGGCCATGACTTTGGAACAAGACTAGGCTGACCACAGACTTTATGACTGTGACTCCCAAGTCAGCTTCAGAAATTCTCAGCCTCTCTGGGTGATACCATATGATCAGCCAGTCCAGCAAACACAACCTCCTCAAGGCTGGAGTCACTTTCTAGAGCCCTTCTTTATCTGCTAGGATCTGATTTCCACTGCTGAAATACTATCATTGTTCTAGACCTGGGCTATCCAGCTGGTTATGTTTATCCAACTAGTTAACCCAGGGGCCATTGCTTACTGGGAAACGTGGCCATCTATAAGTATAAAATATACATCAGTTTCCAAAGACTTAGGAATGAATGTAAAATAGCACATTACTAACTTTATTATATTGACAACTTGTTGAAATGATATTTTGGGTACATTGGGCTAAATAAAGTATAATCCTACATATAACTACAGTTTGAATGTGTCCCCCAGAATCCATGTGTTAAAGACTTAATCCCCAGTGTAACAGTGTTGAGAGCTAGGGTCTTTAAGAGGTGATAATGTGGCTGGGTATGGTGGCTCATGCTTGTAAACCCAGCACTTTGGGAGGCTCAGGTGGGAGGATCGCTTGAGCCCAGAAGTTCAAGACCAGCCTGGACAACATAGCAAGACCCCATCTCTATCAAAAGTAAAAAATTAGCCAGGTGTGGTGGTGTGTGCCTATAGTTCCAGCTACTCTGGAGCCTAAGCAAGGGGATCACTTGAGCCCAGGAGGTTGGGGCTGAGGTGAGCTGTGATCATGCTACTGTACTCCAAGCTGGTGACAGAGTGAGACCTTGTCTCTTAAAAAAAAAAAGAAAAAAAGAAAAAGAAAGGTGATAATGTGATTATTGCAGGACTGAACTCATTATCATGAGACTGGGTTTGTTACAAAAGTCAGTTTGTCCTCTCTCATTCTCTCTGACACCCATGTGATGGCTCCTGCCGTGTTATGATGCAGCAAGAGGGCCCTCACCAGATGCGGCCCCTCAATCATGGGGTTCCCAGCCTCCAGAACCATAAGCCAAATTAATTTCTGTTCAATGCGTATTACCCAGTCTGTGATATTCTGTGATAATAGCATAAAACTGACTAAGACAGAAAATTGACACCATGAAGTCGTCTGATGCCATAACACATACCTGAAAATGTGGAAGTGGTTTTTGAACTGGAAAGGGGTAGAAGGTGGAAGAATTTGGAGGATCAGGAGAGAAAAGTCTGCCATGGAGTATTAAGGGCAATTCTGGCAAGGGCTCAGATGAAGAAAGAACTTCAAGAAGAGCCTAAAGCTTCTCAGGGGTTACAGAAGTGGTCCTAATCAGAATATTGGTAGAAATATAGACAGTTACAGACAGCAAAGACCATTCTGATGAGGTGTCAGATGGAAATGAGGAACAAGGTATTGGAAACTGGGGTAAAAGCCATTCTTGTTATCTACCGCAGAGAACTTGGCAGGATTGCGTCAGTGTCTTAGGAATTTGTGGAAGACAGAACTTAAGAGTGATGAAGTAGGATATCTGGTAAAAGAAATTTCTAAGCAAAACATTGAAGGAGCTGTATTGCAACTTTAAAGCACATGTAGTAAAACGTGAGAGGAGAGAAATGACTAAAAGATGGAATTTGTAATGAAAAAGAAAGCAGAGCAGAAAGATTTGGGAAATCTGAAGGCTAGCCATGTAGACTGAAAAGGTGTCCGTAGGAGAAAAACACCAAGCAATCATTTGCTAAAAAAATTAGTACAGACAGAAGGCAACCAGGCCTATACATCAAGACAATGGGAGGAAAACCCTGAAGACATTTCAGAGACTGTCTAAGCAGGCTAGGGCCTTGAGGACAAGTGCTACGGTTTGGACATGATCTGAGTTTGTCCCCACTTAAACTTATGTTGAAATTTGATCCCCAGGGGGGTCGTGTTGGGAGGTGAGGCTTAGTGGGAGGTATTTGGATCATTGGGGGGAGGATCCCCCATGAGCTGATCTCATGGAAGCAGGTTCTCACTCTCGCAAGACGAGATTAGTTCCTGCAGAAACAGATGAGTTCCCATGATAGTGGATTGTTTTAAAGCCAAGAGATCCTGTGGGTTTTGCCTCTTTGCATGTGTCCACTTGCCCTTTGACCTTCTCAGTCATGTTATAATGTAGCATGAAAGCTACAACCCCCGGCAGGCTGCAGGCATGCCCTTGAATGTCCCAGCCTACAGAACAGTGAGGTAAATAAACCTTTTCTTTACAAATGACCCAGTCTCCCAGTCTCAGGTATTCTGTTATAACAACACAAAATGATCTAAGACAGACAATTTGTACCAAGGAGTGGGGTCATCCGTAAAGATACATAAAAATGTAGAAGCAGCTTTGGAACTGGGTAATGGGCAGAAGTTGGAAGAGTTTGAAGAAATAGGCTAGAAAACACCTAAATTGCTGTGAACAGGGCATTAAGAGTAATTTTGATGAGGGCTCAGAAAAAGACAAAAAGATGAGGGAACGTTTGGAACTTCTCAGAGATTGGTTAGATGGTTATGACCAAAATGCTGATAGAAACATGCACTGTAAAGGCCATTCTGATGAAGGAAAGTAGTGTGTATTTGGAAAGTAGAACAAAGGTCACCCATGTTACGCCATAGCAAAGAACTTGGCTGCATCACGTCCATGCCTTAGGGCTTTATGGAAGACCAAACTTATAAGTGATAACCCAGGGCATCTGGCAGAAGAAATTTCTTTTTTTTTTTTTTTTTTCCTTTTTAAAGATGGAGTTTCACCATGTTGGCCAGGCTAGTCTTGAACTCTTGACCTCAGGTGATCTGCCCATCTTGACCTCCCAAAGTGCTGGGATTACAGGCATGAGCCACTGTGCCTGGCCTAGGCAAAAGAAATTTCTAAGCAGCAAAATGCTCAAGACACAATGTGGTTACTTTGACAGCTTACACACAGCAAAGGAGTGACCTAAAGGTGAAACGTGTAAGAAGCAGAGCATTAAAATTTAGAAAATTTGCAGCCTGGCCATGTGGTAGAGAATGAAAGAACATTTTCAGAAGAGGAATCTAAGGGTGCAGCCAAGAGACCTTTTGCTAAAGAAATTAATTCTGATAGAAGGGAACCAGGTACTAACAGAACAATGGAAAAAAGGCCCTGAAAGTATTACAAAGGTCTAAGGCCATTCCTCCTATCACAGACCCAGAGGCCTAGGAGGACAGAATGGTGGGATACCACTGCCCTGAGCCACCTCAAGATGCTTCTCCTAGCTGCTCTGGCCAGGGCAGCCATGGCCCAATAACCCCAGGTACAGCTTGGACCACTGCTCTGCAGAGTGCCAGCTGTGGGTCTTGGTGGCATCCATGTCCACACAGTACTATTGTGCATGCATGTGGAATTCAAGAGTGGTGGGCATAGCAGCTTCCACCTAGATTTCAGATGATATATCAAAAGCCTGGGAGCAGGCCTAGCACAGTGACTCATGTGGAGGCTGAGGTGGGTGGATCACTTGAGTTCAGGAGTTCAAGAGCAGCCTGGGCAAAATGGCAAGACCTCATCTCAACAAAGCAAAACAAAACAAAACAAAACAAACAAACAAACAAAATTAACCAGGTGCAGTGGTGCATGCCTATAGTCCTAGCTATTTGGGAGGCTGAGGCTGGAAGATCGATTGAGCCTCAGAGGTCAAAGCTGCAGTGAGCTGTGATCACACCACTGCACTCCAGCCTGGGTGACAGAGTGAAACCCTTTGTCAAAAAAAAAAAAAAAAAAAAAAAAGGAAAAAAGAAAGCCTGGGAGCCTAGATAGAAACCCGCCATGGGGGAGAGCCACCACAGACAGCCTCTACTAAGGCAACGTCAAGCAGAAATGTGAGGCCAGAGCACAGGAGTCTTCTGCAAAGAGTCTTCACTAGGACAATGCCTAGTGGAGCTACAAGGGCAGGGCCACCGCAAGGACCCCAAAATGCTAGAATCACTGGTGGCATGTGACCTCAGCCTGGCTAAGCTTCAGGCATTTGATTCCAACCTGTGAGCACAGTCATCTGGGCTATGTCCAGCAAAGCCATGGGGAAAGGGATGCCTGAGGCATTGGGAACCCACTCCTGGCACCAGTGTGCCCAGGATGCAAAACATCAATCCAAAGGAGATTATTCTGGAGGTTTAAGATTTAAAGTCTGCTGGCCAGGGCTTGGTGTGGCTCATGCCTATAATCCAGGCACTCTGAGAGGCCAAGGTGGTAGGATCACTTGAGTGCAGGAGTTTGAGACCACTGTGGGCAACACGGCGAAACTCTATCTCTACAAAAAAAGACAAAAATTAGTTGGGTGTGGTGGCATGGCCTGTGGTCCCAGCTACTTGGGAGGCTGATCACTTGTGCCCAGGTGGCAGAAATTGCAGTGAGCCAAGAACTCACCACAGCAGTCCAGCCTGGGTGAAAGAGCAAGACCCTATGTTTGAATGGTAATTTTACCCAATGCCTGTGCAACCATTGTATATTAGAAGTAAACAACTTGTTTTAGAGTTTATAAGCTCATACCTGGAAAGAATGTGCCTTGAGTTTCAGATGTAATTTTGGACTTTGGACTTTTGAGTTGATGCTGAAACAAGTATATTAGTCCATTCTCACATTGCTATGAAGAAATACTGGAGACTGGCTAATTGATAAAGAAAAGAGGTTTAATTTGCTCCCAGTTCTGCAGGCTGTATAGGAAGCATGATGCTGGCATCTGCTCGGGTTCTGGGAGGCCTCAGGAAACTTACAATCATGGCAGAAGGCAAAGGGGAAGCACACACATCACCTGGACAGAGTAGGAGCAAAAGAGAGACAGAGGGAGGAG